GGCCCAAGCGAGGGGACATGGGGACGTCATTTGAGCTCCCCACCTCAGGTGCCAAAATGTTGTGGGCCAGCCCTGGACCTGTGCACAACTATGTCAATTCAAGGCAGCTAATGTTGACTTAACTTTGTACTATAGCCCAGCGCCTATGGTTCCCTAGGAAATAGTTGGTGGGGGAGATTGACATTTTTGCCCCATGTTACCTCTTCTTTTGCTATTGTTCTTGGGTTTTGATTTTCAACTTGCATAATAAAATCTTCAAGCCATTGATCAACCTCTTTGGTGTGTTTTAGATGTGTCATATAGAAAAATAGCAGTACTTTTTAAAGCATATGATATCAGACACTGCCTTTTCCCTGTTCCTCCCATGTATGCACATGACCTAAGATATTTCTGAACCTTTCTGGGAAAAATCAGAAATACTTGCACTATGATTGCACCAAATTATTACCCAACAGTCCATTACATGAGGCTCTTGTCTCACTCAAGAATGAAAAATCCCTTTCAATTCATTGTTAGGAAAGAGGACTAGCACACAGTAAGCAAAACATAACTATGGAAAGCATGCATTAGACGATGCAATGCTTTTGAAATCAGAACAACATACGGTTACCAAAGTAACGGTTCACAAGTGAGAACGTCGTCCACAGATTAATGTCTTTGCACCTTCCTCCTTCCCCACCTTATCAGAAGGGGTGAGGGATGTAGGACAATAAACTCTCAGGGTGCATCTTGTTGTTCGTCCATCGTATTCGAAGAGGACCTTGACATCTAACGGGTTATGGACTGTTCATGGTGTGTCCGCAAATGGCTGATAAGGCCGATACGGGCACGGAATGTTCTACCACAGGTCGGGCAGACATGTGTGGGCACCACTGTTGCAGCTTTTGCAACTCTGGCTTTACGGAGTGCTCGCTTCTCTTGTGCTATGGTTGTCCTTCTGGCTTCAGATGTTTGACAGCCTTGGTAGATCAGCGTGTGCCATGTTGATCGGTCTTGTGCCAGGGTCTCCCAGGAGGTGGTGTCAATATCCAGGGACTTGAGAGAGGCTTTAAGCGTATCTTTGTATCGCTTCTTTTGTCCCCCGTGCGATCGCTTCCCTTGAAACAGCTCACCATAGAAGAGCTGTTTAGGGATGCGATGATCTGGCATCCTTGCAACATGGCCTGCCCAGCGTGTCTGAGCTTTCATCAGCAGGGTGTAAACTGACGGCAGACCTGCTCTAGAAAGGAATTCTGTGTCTGGCACCTTATCCTGCCACCGGATCCTCAGAAGTCTGCGGAGGCAAATCGTGTGGAAGTGGTTCAGTTGCCTAGCGTGCCTCCTGTATACAGTCCAAGTCTCACTGGCGTACATCAGGGTAGTTAACACTACTGCTCAATAGACTTTAAGCTTTGTAGCAAGGCTTATTCCACGGCGGTCCCACACTTTGGTCAACAGTCTGCCGAACGCAGAGCTTGCCTTGGCGACTCTGCAGTTGACCTCGATGTCAATTGTCACTGAGCGGGAGAGGGTGCTGCCAAGATATGTAAATTGGTCCACTGCTTGCAGCTTTTGTCCCTTCACTGTGATGGTGGGCACTTGATGCTGAGCTTTTGGAGCTGGCTGGTGCATCACTTCGGTTTTCTTTGTGTTGATGAGAAGGCCGAAGTTGTCGCATGCTGCTGCAAATTTGTCCATGCTGGCTTGCATTTCCTGCTCTGATCCAGCATTCAGGGCGCAGTCATCAGCAAAAAGGAGATCTCGTAACACAGTCTCTTTTATCTTGGTGACAGCCTGGAGTCTTCGCAGGTTAAACAATTTCCCATCGGTCCTGTATCTCAGTCTGATTCCCAAGGAACTGTTCTGAAAGGCGTCTGACAGCATGGCTGAAAACATTATGCTGAACAGGGTCGGTGCCAGCACACACCCTTGCTTGACGCCGTTTGTGACGGGAAAGGCCTCTGAAGCTTCTCCATCATCCAAAACACGAGCCGTCATGCCGTCGTGGAACTGACGTACCATCAAGATGAATCTGTCAGGGCACCCAAACTTCGACATGATGCGCCACAGACCTTCGCGACTGACAGTGTCAAAAGCCTTGGTGAGATCCACGAAGGTGGTGTACAGTTCACGATTCTGCTCTTGACACTTCTCTTGAAGCTGTCGGGCTGCGAAGATCATATCCACCGTGCCACGCTCTTTGCGGAAGCCGCACTGTGTCTCGGGTAATAAACCCTGTTCCAGGTGGTTAATCAGACGATTCAGCAACACTCGTGCAAGGATCTTACCTGCGATGGAAAGCAGTGATATTCCTCTATGATTATCGCAAACTTGTCGATTTCCTTTCCTCTTGTAGAGGTGTACGATAGACGCGTCTTTCAGTTCCTGAGGAATAGATCCTTGATTCCAGAAGGACTGGAACAGCTGAGTGAGTTTGTTGACAAGCACTGCACCACCACCCTTATAGACTTCCGCTGGAATCGCATCAGATCCTGGGGCCTTGCCACTGGACAGCTGGCTGATGGCCTGTAAGGTTTCAGTCTCTGATGGTGAGACATCCAGGCTGTGGTTGATATCCGCCTGGGGCATTCTATCAATCGCCTCGTTATTGATGGAAGATGGGCGGTTCAGTACGGATTGGAAGTGCTCAGCCCAACGCTGTAAAATCAGAGCCTTCTCAGTAATGAGAGTTGCACCATCTGAGTCCAGTAGAGGGGAACTCCCTGAGGGCTGAGGTCCATACAAGGATCTAAGGGCTTCGTAGAACAGGGTGCATCTACACTGTACCTGAAGCTCAAAATAAGCAGCAATTTGAGCAACACAAATTGTGTAGCCTATTTAGAGTTAGTTTCAAAATAGCTTATTTCAAAATTTGGCGCTGTCTATCGAAATAAAAACATCCCTTACTCCTTGTGGAATGAGATTTACAGGGATGTCAGAATAGCGAGCCCGTTATATTTTGAAATAATGGGCGTGCTCAAAAGATGTGGAATCCCTATTTCCAGATACCTCTGGTATCCCGAAATAGCGCTGCAGTGTAGATGTAGCCTTACCAAGAACTGAGGGTCTGTCCTGTGACCAGTTCTTGGGGTGATACATTATGGTGTTCCAGGACTACTAAAGGATCAGAATTCTCTTCATTCAGCTGGGGCAATCACTCAATACGACCCTCTGGCTTGGCAGCACGCTGGGTGGCAACCCAAGGAAGGAAGCAGCATCTGATAGACTGGTTCTGGGCCTCAGCAGTAGGAAGATACCACGCTCTTTGGTCACTAGTTCAATTAACCTCTCCATTAGGGATTGCTCCATTCCCCATGGAGTATCTCCATGTCCACGGATTGGTTCACAATGTCTTCTTCAGCTGAAGAGCCCGATCCTCGTATGCCCTGAAGAAGTCAAACTGCTTCTGATTTCTCCTGTCCAACCATATGGAATTGCTCCTCCATGGTCCTTCTCCATGTACCTCTGCTGCATCTGGGGCGTTGCTCCTACCCTACTGGTGGAATAGTTTCGCTCTCAGAAGCCAAAGGTCCTGCCAATTGAAAGGGAAGAGCAGCCTTATCTTTTTGGCCACTGGAACAAGCCAAGGAATCCTCTCGCATAAGTTGACTGCAGAAGGTTACATTTTTTATACTTTAGCATTCTAGGAATGTCGTTATCTCATTGCTCTTGCTGCTCCGACAACTTTTGCAGCCCACGAGGAAGAATCAGAGAGGCTAATAACGGTAAGAACACAGCACTAGCTTGTTTAATCATTTTTTTAAAATATTCACATTGTCACAACAGGGCTGGAGAAAGGTGGTGTGATTCCTTCCCAGGATTATGTTAGCAGGGTACAATATTTTTCTCTTAAGGCTAGCGAATATGTGGTGAACATAGCAATATTCAAAGTACCAAAATGGACATAAGAGGTGGTTTTCCACTCCTGCTGAGGTGATCCAGCAATCTATGCCAGGAATATGTATCTGCTGAATGCAGAAATCTAGTCAGCTATATGAAGGTGAATCAAGCAGATTCATTGCTGGTGAACCTGAAGAACCATCTGGAGTTTCTGCTGAAATATGCTTGCAGGAAAGGGAGGAAATTCAAATGGAAACTGACTGTATTCCCTGCAAGCATGCAGCCATTTTATGCAAAATAAGATCTGAACAACGAATCAACCCACTGTCTCCCGGCCTCACGTCAGAATCCTAGTGTTGTGTCTTCCTAAACGCAATAAAGTAGATAGATACAGAGACACCCTGCAATTTCATTTGGTTTACTGAAGAGTCAGCTCAGAACCAGAACTCCTCCCCTCAGACAACTGGAAAGGAACACTGCACTGTTCACCCAATTGCCAGACCACATCCTTCTCCCACCCCCACACCCTCAAGCGTATGGGCTGTGTGCCCAGAAATGGCACATACCAGGGCTAGAGACTGTCAAGATTGCTGTGACTAACCTTTGCTTAGAAAACCAGCTGTAAAGTTTTCTATTCCCTTCTCCAACCAGGATCTTTCCAAATCTGTGTCCGGTCAGTGTCATATTGCTTTTACCAGTGGGCAGGAGGACAGGGACCTGGAGTGTGTCAGGGGCAGGACAAAAAGGAGTTCACCATGTGTGGGAATGAATGAAACTCGAGGCATACCCTGTACCCCCATTCACTCTGCAAAGTGGCACAAGTATGGGGCCGAAACACAACTAAGGACTGTTCAATCCCAAAAAGTTAAATGGGCTGAGCTACGTCTCCCAGGGGAGTCCGACAAATTCACACCCCTGAAAGATAGACCCATATCCATCTAACTGCCAGTGTTGGCAGCACTAGCTGGACAGAGGAATTCTTTCATTGGCCTAGCTACTGCCTCCTGGGGAGGAGGTCTCAATATAGACCAATGATGGGAGGCATCTCTCCTGTTGCTATAGTGACTGTCTACACTGAAGTGTTACAGTGGTACAGCCGCATGGCTGTAGCATTCTAAAAGCAGCCACAGTTTAATGCCTGTACTTACCCACACACCCCACAGATGTGCCACCTTACTCACCCTCGACTTGCCTTCAGGTTTCTGGGGTGCAACTGTGGCCAACAGGGGGATTCTGGCACAATCCTGTGCATGGCCATATGAGGAGCCAGGAGTGTCGATATACCCACAGACAGCTCTGAAAGGACAATATTGAAATCACAGTGTAATCATCAGTACTAGCATTTTTGTATGTCCTCTTGATCTGCTGTTCCAGCAAGTTAGCCTGCTCCTGCTCCCGCTGAAGCCAATGGTAAAATGCCCCACTGACTTCGATGCATTTATGCTTTGGGAAGACTTTCTTAGCTGACTGTCTCTAGTTGTCCGTGACTGTCTTGCAGGAAAGCCACAGGCTCAGGACTCACCTTCCCCATTACCTTGGGGAGCCTGCACTGGCATTCCAGCCCTGCACCCCTCCCTCCATGAGGTTGGCACACCAGCAATGGCTTTCTGCTGTGAGGTAGAGGAGTAAGCCTCGTGGGCTGGATCTGGCTTGCAGAGGGAGGAAGCGGCTCTGCACACCCCCTGCTCCTACCTGGGGAAACAGCAGCGCAGGAAACCACTCACTTTGAGGCTTTCCCCACTGCTCCCATTGGCTGGAATCACGGCCAATGGGAGCAGCAAGGGTTGGTGCCTGGGAGCGAGAAGAAGCACAGAACTAGGTAAGTGCCCCTATTCCCACCCCCCTCACACACTCCCATCATGCTGACACTCTGCACCCCAACCTCACGCCTGTACCCTCCCCCACCCCATTCCTACAACCAACCTCCCATCAAGACCCCCACCCCTTCCTTCACCAATTTTGTCATCATGGGTGGTTGGCTGGTGGTCCACGGAAAGGTCTGTGTTGAGTAGGGTGGGTCGTCGGCCAAAAGTATGAGAACCACTGCTCTATACCCGCCCTCTCTGTGCATGCTCCCGAGCTATCCCTTTTTTGATCTGAAGCTTATGGTACTTAACTACATCTGCAGGGAGTCAATTCTAAATTACACATTTCAAAGCTTGATGGTTTCAAAGTTAAAGCCAGATTACAGGTTGCAATCATGCAAAGCTCCCGGTTTGGATTCCTTCCAGATGGACTCATCTCAAGCAATCCCAGATTAATAAGTGGCATTCAATTTGGTGAGTGCAGCCTCTGAAAGACATATGGGGGTGGAGGGGGAAGAGAGATGAGGAGGGGACTTTGTTCTCAGAGCCTGCAGGATGCCCCCAGTTTACAATTCCTCCATTTTGCATTCCCATCCTCCAGGCCTGCACCAGCATTTCAACTACTGTTCTAATGTTGAATGGAGGACCTGCGTCAGTTGATGCCCCTCCTTAAGTGGGCTGGAAAGAATTGCTGAATGATGTAAGACCATGTGGGTGGATAGTGTCTAAACTTGGCCTGGACTGACCCACAACATGGATCCTCAAACCTACTTGGGAAGGTATGAGTTATTGTGGAAAACAGTCCTTTGAGGCTGTCCTTCTGACATTGGACCTCTATTGTTAAAGCCATTCCATCCTGGCCTAGTCTTGTTATGAAGAACTTCCCTCTCCAATATCAGGAGGCCAAATTTCCCAGGTATGGAATCCAAATACTAGAGTGCATCTTGCACAGAAGTGCTCAATGCAGATATTTGAATGTTCAGAATTAGTGTTGGCTTAGATGTCTAAGTGTGGAATGGGCCACCATCATTTATTATTATTACTATTATTAATTATTATTATTCAACATTTATCCATGGTAATGTAAGTTAGGTGTCTGCATTTGGGGCATTGTGCCTGAGCCAAAGAGACACTCAACACTCACAATTCCCACCAGTGTCAGCCACTCAGCAGCACAGCTCAGCATTAGGCCCACTGTATCCCCATTTTAAAACAAAAGCTACATCTCATGCAAGTTTCTGCTGCTGGTGCCGAGGAGCCTTTTGGATGAAACTAGTTCTCTTCTCCGATACTGGCGTGGTTGCTCCTTTTTTATCGGCGTGATTTCTTTATGTCTCTTGTGCAACATTGTGTTCCGGGGCTGCAATGAATGAGCAACAAGAATGGATGGCGAATTATGGATTGAAAGAAAAGTCTGACCTGGTTTGGGATCACTATTCAGGGGGATCTCAAAGGGCACCGGACTCCCCACCAGTGTGGTTTTAAACTATGTATATGGGTTAAAATATTTGTATTAAAAAATAAAAGTAATTCCAGGGCAACTCAGCTCACTGGTGTTTTTCCATCTGCTTTCTCAGAGCTAGTTCTAAAACTTTCATGCACATTGACAAGTACTTACCCAAGTAGTCCTATTTAATGCAATGACAACTCACGCATTGTAGAGGGGGAGGCGGAGCCTCAGTTATCACAGCTGAATCCTCCAGCTGCATAACTGTTAGATAACATAGCTATCCTGTCGGAAATTTGCAGTGATTTTTTTAAACCATAACCAAGCATGGGCTGTGTTACTCTCCAGAAATGCCTCTCTCAATTCTCCTTCCTCTGGCTGGCAGCTACCAGGTGAGTGAAAAATAAACAACAAATTTAGGGGGCCTAAATTCCAGCATTCCAAAACTATTAATAAAGACCTATGTGGGAGGCTGGATGGAGGAAAAAAGATGCATTCTAGTTCCAGTGAAATCTATTGAGCTTTATTATAGGGACAGAGTGGCAGAATGCTAATGCTTTTCTAAAACCTAAGAGCCCTCTGAGATGGAGAGAAGGAACAAATACAATAATACCTGTCTTCTGTGACCACTCAAAACACCAACACAAATGGGTTGAGTAATAGGTAGGTGGGATGGTCTAGTGCAGTGTTTCTCAACCTTTTTTTTTTATAAGGTACCATTTTTTTAAATATATATATAAGTACCCCGAGTACCTACAGTTTTAAGACATGCAATTTTTTTTTCTACCATTGCAACACATTTGTTTAAACAACTTAATCGTAGCCAGGCGAGCAATGAAATTTTGGGATGTAAAAAGTACAAAAATAATAAAGTGCTGTAAAACTTAAAACAAAAATTCAGTTTTCTCCAAGTTTCAGTTGTGTTGACGGGTTGTGTTCGCGCCCCCCCCCCCCCCCCCGATGTCTTTCGAGTACCCTTAAGGGTACTCGTACCACTAGTTGAGAAACACTGGTCTAGTGGATAAATCACTAAGCTGGGTTCTATTTCCAGCTATGCTACTAGATTGCTAGGTGAGCTTGTCTCCCTGTGCCTTAGTTTCCCCATTTGCATAATGAAATTAATTATGCCTACCTCTTTTGTAAAATGCTTTGAGATCTACAGCTGAAACATGCTATATACGAAATTATTATTATTGATCTCACAGAGTTGTACTCAGTATGTTTGGGGGAACTATTGGACAGTGCCTTAAAACAGGAGGTGATCTAATATTTGTTTTTATGTATAAAGTAATACTAATAGCCTCTAGTTCCATTCTTAGATTTTGTATATAGTGACACCTGCACATGTCTGTGACACGGACAGTACCAGCATCCAACGCCAGGGAATTACAGTTACCAACTTTCTGTTCCCACAAAACCAAACACTCTTCCCCTGCGCTTCTCTGCGGCTCATTCTATTTCCCCTCCCTCATTTATTCCTGAGGCTGGCTCAGGAAGCTGGGGTACAAGAAGCCACCAGTTGGGGGTGCAAACTCTGGGGTGGGGGCAGAAATGACGAGGTCAGAAATGATGAGGTCTGGGAGGGGGCTCCAGGCTGAGGCAGTGGGACAGGCTAGAGGGCTGAGGGCTTTAGCTGGGGCTGGGGTAGAGCCATGGAGTTCAGAGTATGGGAGAGACCTCCAAGCTGAGGCAAGGGTTGGGATGTGGGAGAGGGGTCCAGGCTCTGGGCTGGGGGGGAGGGTACAGAAATGATGGGTTTGGGAAGGGCTCTGGGCTGGGGCAGGGTACTTGGGTGGGGAGTGGTGAGGGCTCTGGCTGGGGATGCAGGCTCTGGGGTGGGGCTGGGGATGAGGGGTTAGGGTTAAAGAGGTTGCTCTAGGCTGCAGACAAGGGGTTCAGATGGCAGGAGAGGGATCAGGGCTGGGACAGGGAGGGCGGTGCTTGGCCGGGGGGTGAGGCTCCAGCTGGGATTGTGGGCTCTGAGGTGGGGCTGGGGACAGTGCCACCAACAGGGAGCACAGTAGGGGCAGCTGCCCCAGGGCCCAGTGGCTTCCGGCTGGCTGCTGCCACCACTACTGCAGTAGTGGCAGCAGCCATAGCTCCAGGCCCTTTCAACTGCCAGCAGAGCCCCAGATGGTGGGAGCCGGGCAGGCCCATAGGGCTCACTAGAGGAGACTAGTTTCTTAGCCCCACCCCTTCTGGGAACTGGAGCTGCCCCCTTTGCCCTGGAGCCCTGCAATTCTGTCCCCAGCTCTAGCCGGGGGTGAGGGCATAGAAGGATGCCCCAAGGCTGGGGCCAAGGCATTTGGAGAGTGGGAGAGGGATCAGGGCTGGGGCAGTGGGGTGGGACACAGAGGTGGCTCAGAGGTGCAGGCTCCAGCCGGCACTTACCTCAAGCAGTTTCTGCAAGCAGCAGCACGTTCCCCCTCCGGCTGCTATGCGGAGATGTGATCAGTGGCTCTAGGCACTGCCCCTGCAGCTCCCACTGGACACAGTTCCTAGCCAATGGGAGCTGCACAGCTGGCCCTGGGGGTGGAGGCAAGGTGCAGGGCCCTATGGCTGCCCCTACCTGTAGGAGCTGGAGGGGAGACATGCTGCTGCTTCCGGGAGCCCCGGCAGAGAGGAAGCTTCCCTTAGCCCTGTTGTGCCACCGAGTGGACTTTTAACAGCCTTGTCAGTGGTGCAGACTGGGGCTGCCAGGGTCCCCTTTCAACCAGACATTCCGGTTGAAAACCCAACACAATTACGTGACAACCATCCCATTCCGCTGTCTTGCCTAGCAACTAGACTGCAGCTCCTCATTGCACGAAATGATTCACACACCAACACAGCTAAGAGGATCTCATGCTCTGCTAGACTCACACGCTGTAAAAGCATTAGAGCCATTTAAAAAGTTTCCAAAAAGACTTTGCTGTTAGCATTTAGATCACTATCACAGCTGAACTGGAAAAGACCCCAGAATCTCCCCATTGACCCACGAGTTTGCCAAACTATGGGCTATCCTTTCTACAGAAAAAATATCACCTGTCACAAACACCAGTAAA